TTTTTTTTGGGGGGGGGGGGCCAGAAAAAAAATCTTGCACCAGGGCCCTTTGTTCCTTAGGTCCGCCACTGCTCTCTTGGACAGGCGCTCATGGACATCCCCTCATAGAGACGATCATGGACAGGGGCTTATGGATGGGCTCTCTTGTCTGGTCTCTCCAGTATGTGTCCTCATCGCCATGTTTCCTCTCTCCAGTATGTGTCCTCATCTCCATGTCTGGTCTCTCCAGTATCCGTCCTCATCTCCATGTCTCATCTCCAGTATGTGTCCTCATCTCCATGTCTCCTCTCTCCAGTATCCGTCCTCATCTCCATGTCTCATCTCCAGTATGTGTCCTCATCTCCATGTCTCCTCTCTCCAGTATCCGTCCTCATCTCCATGTCTCATCTCCAGTATGTGTCCTCATCTCCATGTCTCCTCTCTCCAGTATCCGTCCTCATCTCCATGTCTCATCTCCAGTATGTGTCCTCATCTCCATGTCTCCTCTCTCCAGTATCCGTCCTCATCTCCATGTCTCATCTCCAGTATGTGTCCTCATCTCCATGTCTCCTCTCTCCAGTATCCGTCCTCATCTCCATGTCTCATCTCCAGTATGTGTCCTCATCTCCATGTCTCCTCTCTCCAGTATCCGTCCTCATCTCCATGTCTCATCTCCAGTATGTGTCCTCATCTCCATGTCTCCTCTCTCCAGTATCCGTCCTCATCTCCATGTCTCATCTCCAGTATGTGTCCTCATCTCCATGTCTCCTCTCTCCAGTATCCGTCCTCATCTCCATGTCTCATCTCCAGTATGTGTCCTCATCTCCATGTCTCCTCTCTCCAGTATCCGTCCTCATCTCCATGTCTCATCTCCAGTATGTGTCCTCATCTCCATGTCTCCTCTCTCCAGTATCCGTCCTCATCTCCATGTCTCATCTCCAGTATGTGTCCTCATCTCCATGTCTCCTCTCTCCAGTATCCGTCCTCATCTCCATGTCTCATCTCCAGTATGTGTCCTCATCTCCATGTCTCCTCTCTCCAGTATCCGTCCTCATCTCCATGTCTCATCTCCAGTATGTGTCCTCATCTCCATGTCTCCTCTCTCCAGTATCCGTCCTCATCTCCATGTCTCATCTCCAGTATGTGTCCTCATCTCCATGTCTCCTCTCTCCAGTATCCGTCCTCATCTCCATGTCTCATCTCCAGTATGTGTCCTCATCTCCATGTCTCCTCTCTCCAGTATCCGTCCTCATCTCCATGTCTCATCTCCAGTATGTGTCCTCATCTCCATGTCTCCTCTCTCCAGTATCCGTCCTCATCTCCATGTCTCATCTCCAGTATGTGTCCTCATCTCCATGTCTCCTCTCTCCAGTATCCGTCCTCATCTCCATGTCTCATCTCCAGTATGTGTCCTCATCTCCATGTCTCCTCTCTCCAGTATCCGTCCTCATCTCCATGTCTCATCTCCAGTATGTGTCCTCATCTCCATGTCTCCTCTCTCCAGTATCCGTCCTCATCTCCATGTCTCATCTCCAGTATGTGTCCTCATCTCCATGTCTCCTCTCTCCAGTATCCGTCCTCATCTCCATGTCTCATCTCCAGTATGTGTCCTCATCTCCATGTCTCCTCTCTCCAGTATCCGTCCTCATCTCCATGTCTCATCTCCAGTATGTGTCCTCATCTCCATGTCTCCTCTCTCCAGTATCCGTCCTCATCTCCATGTCTCATCTCCAGTATGTGTCCTCATCTCCATGTCTCCTCTCTCCAGTATCCGTCCTCATCTCCATGTCTCATCTCCAGTATGTGTCCTCATCTCCATGTCTCCTCTCTCCAGTATCCGTCCTCATCTCCATGTCTCATCTCCAGTATGTGTCCTCATCTCCATGTCTCCTCTCTCCAGTATGTGTCCTCATCGCCATGTCTGGTCTCTCCAGTATCCGTCCTCATCTCCATGTCTCGTCTCTCCAGTATGTGTCTCCAGCTCCATGATGTCACGTGATAGCCTTCTTTGCCCAGGGAAGAGCGCGTCGACCGTGCCCTATGCGGACCTCCCCTTAGCCTTATTAGGTAAAGAGGGCGTGGTCACTCTTCTACACAGAGGTGGATCCTCCGGAAACGAAGGTGAGTAGGCGTGTTGTGGGCGGGGACGTCGCGGCGGTGGCGGGCTGAGGCAGTGTAGCCAATGGCGGCGGACGGCTCCGGGTTTGAATAGAGCTCGGTACGTCTGTGAGGCGGCGACGGAGACAGGTGAGGCCCGGTGTGTGTGCGGGGGTAGGGGAGACGGGAGCCCGTGACCGACCAGTCACATACCGAGTGGGCCCTCCATTGACCGGCCGACATTACCTCGGGGGCCCCGGTGCAGCTCATGTCTACAGAGTGTGCGGGAATGTATCACCGACCTGCCAATAAGTGATCAATATTCATAAAAGAGATATCGATCTTCACCCAGAGGCTGATGGGGTTTCCATTTTTGTGTCCATTTGCTGCTTCTGAGATTGTGGGACCCCTCCCCCCCTTTTTCAGAGTGACCCCGCCCCCTCCTGTATCAAAAGACCGCTCACTGCTGCTTGTGCAGGGTGACTGGTCTTGTCCCTGCCCCCTCCTGTAATAAAGACCTCCCACTGCTCTCTCCTCCTTCTACAGGGTGACAGGTCTTGTTTCCGCCCCCTCCTGTAATAAAGACCGCCCACTGCTGCGCTCTCTTTGTGCTTGGGGGGAGGGGCATTATATCACTCCTGGCTTGCATATGTTGTCTTAACGAATGAGCTTTTTTAAGGTTCCACCAATGGTGGAGGCCGAAGTGCCAGGAGGGGGCGGGGCCATCAGTGTAGCGATGTGTTACATTGTATCACAGGATTATATCAGGAGCTTGATCACATGACCGGGGGGGAGGGGTGGTCATGTGAAGAAGGGAATGTAGGAAGTCAGGATCAGTTCATCCTCCAATCAGCTTCCAGCTTTAATTTCCAGAGCTGAACTGAACAAGTTGAATATAGAAGCTGATTGGTTGCTGCTCCAGTTTTAGTTAATCCCCTCCCCCCTCCAGGTACTTTATGGTCGGTGTGGGAGTTCTTTGGTGCCTCGCGTCCTCCGCTCTACTGTGGCGCCGTTATCTCCCCGTGTTTATTTTGCGGGTGTTCTCGGCTCTCGCGGATATGTTGCTCCCCTTGGCATATGCCCTTCCCCCGGGGTTATCCTTTAATCCAAGGGTGGGCCACATGAGAAACTGGGTCTGTATAGGAGGGCTGGGGGCGGGGAACACACTTCATGTCACTGGTTGCTGGGATGCTTGTAGTCCTAGCAACAGATGGCTGCAGGGGAGGTGGGCACCCGGCATCATTGGTTGCTACGATGCCAGCGATCCTAGCAACAGGGATGGTGGACACCCGGCAACATTGGTTGCTACGATGCCAGCGATCCTAGCAACAGGAATGGTGGACACCCGGCAACATTGGTTGCTTTATGCCAGCCATCCTAGCAACAGGAATGGTGGACAACCGGCAACATTGGTTGCTACGATGCCAGCCATCCTAGCAACAGGAGTGGTGGACACCCAGCATCATTGGTTGCTTTTCGGGATGCACTGATACGGCATCGGTGCCATTACAGAGTATTTGGGCAAGTACTCGAGTTTGCCCAAATGCTCCTGATACCGGAGCTTCCAGTATCGGGAAGCTGAGCGGCGAGTCATAACAGGCTGCCCGGCTTTCCGTCACTTGGTGATGAGGGAGCATGGAAAAATCGGGATACCGGCTGGTCGTGCCATTACACGTTGCTCGGCTTTCTTAATGGGGCTTCCAGTATCGGTATTCGGTACCGTCGGGTACCAAAAACATCGGTACTCGGTACAGAAAAACCGGTATCCCTAGTTGCTATGATGCCAGCAGTCCTAGCAACAGAGAAAGTGGACTAACCAGCATCATTGGTTGCTACGATGCCAGCAGTCCTAGCAACAGAGGAGGTGGACACCCAGCATCATTGGTTGCTAGGACGCCAGCAGTCCAAGCAACAGAGGAGGTGGACTACCCAGCATCATTGGTTGCTACGATGCCAGCAGTCCTAGCAACAGAGAAGGTGGACACCCAGCATCATTGGTTGCTAGGACGCCAGCAGTCCTAGCTACCAGCGACGGAAGAGGAGGGGGCTTGCACTGGGATATGGTTTGCAGTGGATGTACCTGCCCCTCAGCTGTCAGCCAACCATAACCAAGCGTAGGTTTGGAGATCAGCCTGTGACCGGACAGGGACAGCCAAGGGCCCAGATGTGGCCCTCAGGCTGTATAGTGCCTTTGTCTGCTTTATTCCCGTACGGCCGGTTATATCGGAGTTTGATGCGGTTGCTGAGCAGGAGGCAGATACATCAGGGGTCTTTCAGACTCCTAATGTCCCCTAGGGACCCCAAATAAGCTGAGGAAGCCAGAGATCTGCTTCACCAGCTTCATCTCCTGCCTCTAAGAGCCGTAGACTGTGCCCAGTGATACCGGAAGTGATGTCATACACGTCGCTTCCGGGGTCCAGTGATCGGAGGAGCGATCGGTAGCTTTCAACCGCTAAATCTCTCTGCGGTCATTGCAGGGGGAAACCCGCCATTTCGGTCCTGGGCGCCGCAGGGGGACAGTAGAGCCCTGGGAGTGGTTAAAGACGTTTTGCTGGTCATCAGGCTAGCTTTCCGAATTGAGAAAGCTGGTCGGACGGCCGGTGAAACGTCCAAGAAAAATACAGGAAGTCCAGTTGCCTCTAATTTTTTTTACAGATAGACCATGTGACCCGGATGAATGAACCTTTGCAGAGGTGACGTCGGGGATCTAATGGATGTCTCCTTAAAGAGAACCTGTCACTGGCACTATGCTATCACATAGAGCAGAGGTAGGCAAAGTCCGGCTCTACAGCTGTAATGTAGCTAGAAATCCCATCATGCATCTGAGTCATGCCTGTGGCTGTCAGTTTTTCAATGCCTCATGGGACTTGTAGTTCCGCCACAGCTGGAGTGGCGAGGTTGCCCACTTGTGATCTACTCACTGATCTCCCCTGGTGGCTATCGTGAACCTAGAAGTGACAAGCTCACATCACTTCCAGGTTCAGCGCCGTTATACCCTGACCCACCTGTGGCCGAGCGTGATCTGGGCACGGTCAGCTTCCCCGTAGTGCAGAGGTGACATCAGGGATCTAATGGATGTCTCCTTAAAGAGAACCTGTCACTGGCACTATGCTATGACATAGGGCAGGGGTAGGCCAGCTCCTGCCCTACAGCTGTGGTGACGCTACTCTCTTTACAGAGACGTCTATTAGACCCCTGATGTCACCTCTGTACTGTGGTGAAGCTGACCGTGCACAGATCACGCTCGGCCACAGGAGTTGGGGGAACAGCACTTGAACCGGGAAGTGATGGGAGCGTGTCACCGCCAGGTTCACAATACCCAGCAGGGGAGATCAGTGAGTAGATCACAAGTTGGCAACTTTGGCGCTCAAGCTTTTGTGGAACTACAAGACCAAGTAGGCACTGGGACTCAGACAGCCACAGACATGAATCCCAGAGGCACAATGGTATTTGTAGTTTTATTACAGATGGTGAGGTGACAGGTTCCCTTTAGGAAGACCTCTATTAGGCCCCTGATGTCACCTCTGCACCATATTGAAGATGACTGTGCACAGACCAAGCTCGGCCACAGGGGGTCAGGGAACGGCACTGAACCCGGAAGTGATGGGAGCACGTCACCTCCAGGTTCATAATACCCAGCAGGGGAGGTCAGCGAATAGATCAGGGGGTCGGCAGCCTCGGCACTCCAGCTGTTGTGGAACTACAAGTCCCATGAGGCATTGAAAGACTGACCGCCACAGAGGCCTGATGGGATCTAGTAGTTTAATTAAAGCTGGAGTTTGCCCGACCCTATAGGTCAGGGGTAGCCCAACTCCGGCCCTCCAGCTGTGGTGGAACTACAAATCCCATGAGGCATCTCTCTCCGGCAGTCGTGTCTGTGAGAGTCTTGCAATGCCTCATGGGATTTGTAGTCCCGCCACAGCTGGAGGGCCAGAGCTTGGCTACCCCTGCTGTAGGTGATAGCATAGTGCCAGTGACAGGTTCTCTTTAAGGAGACATCTATTAGACCCCTGATGTCACCCCTGCCCCATGTGATAGCATAGTGCTGGTGACAGGTTCTCTTAAGAAGACCCCCTGATGTCACCTCTGCACTTTGGTGACGCTGACCCTGCACGGAGCACGCTCGGCCACAGGGGGTCGGGGGAACAGCGCTGAACCCGGAAGTGATGGGAGCGCGTCACCTCCAGGTTCACAATAATCAGGGGAGATGAGTGAATAGATCGCGGGGTTGGCAACCTCGGCACTCCAGCTGTTGCGGAACTACAAGTCCCACGAGGCATTGAAAGACTGACAGCCATATCTCGCAGAGGCATGATGGGATCTGTAGTGTCATTAAAGCTGGAGCTTTCCCTATCCTATAGGGCAGTGGTGGCGAACCTTGGCACTCCAGCTGTGCCAAAACTACATATCCCAACATGCATCTGCCTCTGGGAGTTATGCCTGTAGCTGTCAGAGCCTTGCAATGCCTCATGGGACTTGTAGTTCCAAAACAGCTGGAGTGCCGAGGTTCGCCACCACTGCTATAGGTGATAGCCTAGTGCCGGAGACAGGTTCTCTTTTAAGAAGACCCCCCCTGATGTCACCTCTACACCACGGTGAAGCTGACCCTGCGCAGATCATGCTCGGCCACAGGGGAATAACAGCAGTGAACCCGGAAGTGATGGAAGCCCGTCACTTCCAGGTTTACAATACCCACCAGGGGAGATCAGTGGGGGGTGGGGACCTCGACCCTCCAGCTGTTGTGGAACTACAAGTCCCAGGAGGCATTGCAAGACTCTGACATGGGGCGAGTCTATTATCATTTTTGTGTACAGAAAGTTGCAATAAATATAACAAAGTGTAATTGTTACAGG